TATTGACTAAATAATACTTGATTTGTTTATAGAAAATAATGAAAAGGGGGGATGAGGTGTCAATGTATGTTTTATTGTGAAGTGTGTATTGAATGTGTTTTCTGATTAAATTTTTTATTTGCAGGAAGCATTTTGCTTTAATTACTGTAATATATTTTTGCACGTGGAGGGCTATATATATATATATATAATTTGACCTACCCATCATTTTTCATCTTCCCGCTAATAGACTTTTTAATTTATTGTTTACATTTTTTATTTGCTGTAGTTTCTGCCTCCATGCTCCTTTTATGATATAAAATTTGTTTGAAACTGTCTGTGACAGGTCAAGAATGAGGAAGAGGAATTCAACACTGGGCATCTTTCTGTTCTGATGATGAGTGTTAAAAACAACACACAGGTAATGCATACTTTTCTTCCCTGTAAATTGAGGATAATGTCGTCGTACCAGTGAAATTTTGATAGAAGGGTCATAGTCTTTAAATGGCTAAAAGCGGTTGTCCTTGTGGCATGTTGAATTTGAAAAAAAATTGTTTATCCTCTAGTTCTGGCCTTGGAGTTCTCATTTTTCTAGACATGGGTTGTTTAGATTCTAAATTAATAGGACTTCAATTCTAAATAATTATCCTTGACGCAAAGTGAGTAGTATCTTAAATAATTGAAGGTGCTTGGACTGGATTTATGTATTAATTTGTTTTATGTGTTAATTTGCTTCAGGATTGAAGTCCTATTAATTTGTTTTACGTATTCATAATTATCCTTGACGCAAAGTGAGTAGTATCTTGAATAATTGAAGGTTCTTAGACCTCATAGGGTAGGTGTGCATGACATCATTTCTGTTTTGTGTTTTAAATCTTGGTTCATCTATGAAACTGAAGGATGTATTTAAATATGCCAGATATATTTAACTTAAATATGCCAGATATATTTAAATTCCTTATGGGATAAATTTGGGATGAAAAGAAGTTTTCAGGATGGAACGCATAATGTCAGTCTCTCTGAGTATATTAACAGAGTCGTCAAAGCCATGTATATATATAGACAAATTGTGAGTGTATATATATAAAGTCATTTTCTCAATTTTTGTTTCTCTATCTTCTCACTCTTTAGGACAAAAAAAATATCTGTATATACAAATAAGGCACACCCAGATGTTAATGTTTGTTTTCTTTAGGATGGATTATGTATTTACTTTTTGGCTGTCTATTTTGATTTTCATAATATTCAATCTTAAGTTTTTACAATTAATGGCTGATAAATGTTAATGAACTTCTTTAATGATATGGAATGGTGACTTTCAAATGTTTGATCTTCATTCAATGGAAATTTGCTATTTTTGCAAGTCTATTGACAGCTCTCATCTTTGTCTCTCTCCCACTCATTTCCATTATGGTTTGATGATAGAGGTATGTTCTTTTCCTATGTTACTTGGGTTATGTGTGAAATAAATTCTAAACGTACATAAATTTGGTTAATTTATATGATAAATCAATAAATGGTGGTTTGATTCACTGGTAATTGACAGGGTTCTGAATTAGCATTGCAAGTTATCCGATCTACTAGTGGATTTCTCAGTTGTATGGACCCCTTTTGATTGCTTGGACATTCATTATGAGCTCTTGTGCTTAGAGGGATGCCATAGCCTCCAGGTTTGCAGTCCTCTGTTGGTTCTCTTGTGATATACTTATCAGGATAATGATGCTAAACTGTCACAGTGATTAATAATCATGGCATGTGCTCTGATTAGTTTTCTAGGAGAATGACTTCCAAGCCAGACCTTGATTGTACTGTTGTGACTTGAAGCTAGTTTTTATATCAAATATATCATTGTTTGTGATAGCACCTTTGGAAGTTTAGTGCTTGAGAGAATTGTTTCCCTGATTTTTCTCTGTTTTATATGTTTTTTTTCTCGCTTTTTTTGGTTTTGATTATACTTTCTACTACCATATGTCATTTGCCTATCCATGGTTAGAAACATCCTTCACCCTTGCTAGTTTACCTTCATCTGACTGTTTTTGGAACCTGCATGTCATCCATAAAATTTTATGAGTGACTCTTTTTTCTCATATTGTTTTGATGTGGGACTCGCTATCTGTGTCTTAGAGATTGATTTTTTGGATTTATATATTTTGTTATTAGTATGGTTTTCTTCAATTGTTTCACATCTGCTTTCCATATTGAATTTGATACTAGGGAAGTTGTAATTGTAAGTGGATTTGGAATATTTGTTTGTGTGCAAATAAAATCACTTCAAAAGATCCTCACAACTTTCATAGCATTGATATGCTCTTTTGACTCTGTAATTTTCCGATATGCTTTGTTGGGTTGATGTTTAGACTCGAAGAAGAATGACCTTATGTTTATGAACTTGGACAAGTTTAGTGACTTCCAGATCAAAATTTGCGAGCGAAGAACCATGTTGGCAATCAAGAAGGGGAAATTCTCTTCAGCAAATTTTTATTTTCACATTCTTTGGGTTTTGAGCTTTTAATATGAAGACGGATTCTGTGTTTTAATATGAAATTGTGCAGTTCCAAATATGTTTTAAAGTCTAAAATGGCATAAAAGAACTTTTTTCAGGCTTTTAGTTGTAATAACTTTTACATATGACTTCAATTTTGAGACTCAAATGGAATGCCCGATTAAACTATAATGTTATACTGTTTGAATTCTTGTCATTGCTATTCCTAGAATACTTAACGTTACACTGTTATGTTTCTTTTTCTTCTTTTTTTGTTTTTTTTTTTTTTTTGCGACGGTAACAAGATGGTCGCCAAAAAATATGCTAGAATTTTTCTTTATTTTTTGCAACGGCAAAATAGCGGTCGCGAATAATTTGCGACCGTTGTTTTGCCGTCGCAATAAGTATTTGCCACCCCCACATTCGCGACCCCCATTTACTGTCGCATGGGTCGTCGCAAAAGGTCTTTTGCGACTGTATTTTTATTATTTGCGACGGCTTGTAACGGTCGTAAAAAGTGTTTTTTTTAGAAGTGTCACCTTTCGCCGATGCCAAAAGAAAAAGAAAATATATATATATATATAGCTACCCCAACATTTAGTCAATTTTCACTAGAAAAGAATCTCTTGACCATTTTTTTAAAATTTTATTTTGGTTTCATATTTAAAGTTTATCTTAATTTACTTAAGTTAACTTCTATTTAAACTTATAGAGAAAATGTCATACTAGTTACTAGGGGTTCCCAAGTTATCCACGAACAAAAAAACCCGATATTTCCCAATCCACTCAACCCATCTTATAGCTTATTCCAGCCTACTTGAGTGCCTAACCCGTCTCAACTCATAAAAAATGATTTAGGACTTTGTACAAAGGTTTATAACTCGACCCCGCCCATAAGCCCGGCATGTAAGAGTCCACATAAGTCTAATGTTTACTTTAATTTTTTTTCCCCTCTCATGTTGCTAGTATTTATTTTTTTTTCTTTCCATTTTTTTCCTCTTTCACTTGTAAATATTATATGTTACTTGATTATTTTTTGATTATATGAGATGTAAATAAATAAATAAATAAAGTTCAATATACTTGAATTATGTTGGAAACTAAATAAGAAAAATAACTAATAAAAATATTAAAAATATGTGAATGAAAAATGTGTAGAATTTCATAATATAAGCATACTATTTAATAATATTTCACCTTTCGCTGATACCACAAGAAAAAAAAAATATATATATATATATATAGCTACCCCAACATTTAGTCAATTTTCACTAGAAAAGGATCTCTTGACCATTTTTTTAAAATTTTATTTTGGTTTCATATTTAAAGTTTATCATAATTTACTTAAGTTAACTTCTATTTAAACTTATAGAGAAAATGTCATACTAGTTGCTAGGGGTCCCCAAGTTATCCACGAACAAAAAAACCCGATATTTCCCAATCCAATCAACCCATCTTATAGCCTATTCCAGCCCGCTTGAGTGCCTAACCCGTCTCAACTCATAAAAAATGATTTAGGACTTTGTACAAAGGTTTATAACTCGACCCCGCCCATAAGCCCGGCATGTAAGAGTCCACATAAGTCTAATGTTTACTTTAATTTTTTTTCCCCTCTCATGTTGCTAGTATTTATTTTTTTTTCTTTCCATTTTTTTCCTCTTTCACTTGTAAATATTATATGTTACTTGATTATTTTTTGATTATATGAGATGTAAATAAATAAATAAATAAAGTTCAATATACTTGAATTATGTTGGAAACTAAATAAGAAAAATAACTAATAAAAATATTAAAAATATGTGAATGAAAAATGTGTAGAATTTCATAATATAAGTGTAATAAAAATTATGTAGCATGGTTCATTTGATTTTGGCTTGTAAGATTTAGACTTATGGATAGAATGTGATTTTAGTTTATCAAATAGGCTCGGCCTATTCCAATTCATCGACTGGTCAAAACCTAAAAAAACCCATTAAAATATGGTATGCGCGTTGGGTAAGCTCAGCCTGTCCTATAGTAACCCCCAGTAGTTGCCACATGATATTAAAGTATAGGAAAATTATATACAAGTCTAATTTTTAGACTCATTTTAAACTTAATGATGTGTCAACCAATTATTTTCTTGACACATTATTCAATTTAAAAAATAAATTTAACTGTTAAGCCTAAATAATAATATTTTTAAATACATTATTATAAATTTGAATTTATAGAACAGGTGTGAGTCACAATGGCTTCCCAAAACATCATTATTATTGTTGTAATTATTATACTATTGACAGATGAGGCATGTTTTTCATATATATATATTTTTTGAGAATGGTACTTGTTGCATATATTGCCATCGTTTGGCATCTCATGGTTATAGGTTAAAATAGTAACAAAATAATAAAATATATTAAAAATTTTTTAAGATAAAATGTTATATTCAAAGTACAACCATTTTATTTTTTTTCTCATAAAAAGAAAGAAAGTCAAAAAATTCAATCCAAATAAATTTTTTTAGTTACAAATTAAAATAGTTAAAATACCAACTCACTTTCTAAACAAAGTCAAATATATTCTCCACATGTCAAAGAAAAGAATTAGGCTAAACACGAATTCAATAAGCTCATAATAAACTAATCCATCTAATTTTTCATTTTACACTTTCACTCTTTACCTTCATAATGAAAGTGACAACTACATTCTTCTAGGATATCTTTTGAAATTAAGCATAGCATTACTTGAAGGTAATAATAAGAACCTCTACAGTATTTGTGTCCCCTCTCCATCTTGCTTTCCAATGGCCTTATGAACAGCTTGTGTAATCTCTCTCACATCAATTACTTGGTCTTGAGCTTTAACAATGGCTTCAATGTTGAGAAAATAGTTGCAAGAAACCCTAGCCTGTAAAACATTAAGACCCATTTCCTCAAAGGCCTCCAATATTGAAACCAGCACATCTTGCCCTTTCTTGCAGGTCACCCTCACTAGAAATTCTTCCCCAACCTTCTCTACTTTCACCTCCTGTTCATGAGTTGTATATATAAGACTAGAGTAGTGTTATGAAAATATATAATGTGACAAGTTTTGATTTATATCCGTCAAAGTGGTTTATATATTAAAAAATGTCACTGTTGTATCATCCTTGTCTAATCATTGGCCAAGAAGTAGAAATTTGAAAACAAGATCTAAGGTTTTGAATTTAAGTCATTTGTGAAATCGTTAATCTCAGGACTCACAAATTAGTCAAGGACTCACAAATTAGTCAAGGTGCATCCACGCAAGTTAAGAAAACAAGAAAGGATGAATATAAAAAAGGTATAGAGCGAAAAAAAATTACAAAATAATGAAGGTTTACGTGATTTATAAAATCAATTATGCAAATAAATTTTGTACATTCAGTAATTGGAAAAGAAAATTCACTCTTCACTTTTTGATAAATTCTCTCACAAAAAAAAAAAAAAAAAAACTTTGTCTTAAGTTCTGTATAAATTTTTGTACCCGTTGTCCCCTTATGTAGTATTTATACTAAGGACATAAACATGTCTTTTGAGAGAGAGAGAGAGAGAGAGAGAGAGATGGGCAACCTGGATATGCTTCATTAGGTAAAGGTACTGTCTTTTGATGGCTTCCAGCTTGAGTTGGAGTTTGTAAATGTGGAGAAAAGCATCGAAGATTATAGAGCTCTTTTTGACCTTTGCAAACAACAAAATCATTATGAACATAAAGAAGGTTTGTACCACAAAGATGTAAAAGTCGTAAAACAAAAGGAATGGGCAAAAAAAATAAAAATAAATAAATAAATAAAATACACTTAAATTATTACAGATTTGGAGTTGGTGAGAGTTTTCAGAACATGAAGCTTTCTACGCAGTGTCATTCTCTTTTGCAGCCTAGATGCCATCTCTCTATCTCTTTCTCTCAAGTTGGATTTGCTTATGTGGGATTGGGTTTTTATAGTAAGGAAAAGGGAGGACAGCTGATGTGTCTTGGGATAATGTCATAAAAATAATAACATGCTATTGTCTTACTTTAAACAAAGAATAAAGAGTATTTATAGAGGAGAAAATAAAAAAATAAAATAAAAAAGAAATAAAAAAGAGAACAATATTTAATACCCATGAGCATCTCCAACGGTAGTAGGCATTTTACCTATCTAAATAAAGTATATATTTTATTTTGCATATCAACTGTTTTATGTTTTTACTCCAACCATGCTCCTTATTTTAGCTATTAATCCAAATACTATTAATTTTATAGAATGCCACGTCAACAACAAAGATGGAGGGAAATGATCCTAATGATTGAATACATTTTGCCTAGTGTTGAAGGCTAGCTACATGTAGCTAGTGAATATGAGTTGAGCCAAAATGCCTAATCATATGCCTAGTGCGTTGGAATTGAAAAAAGTGAATCACACTAGGCATTTTAACTAACAAGTATGATATGCCTAGTGCATTGGAGATGCTCCCAGCCATATCAAAGTATTTAGGATGCTATTGAATAGTTTGATACAGGCCATGTTTGGAAGCTTTGATTTTTAGTTAAAAAACGTTATAAATTGTCAAATTATATTCTTTCTATTTTTTTATACGTATTTGTATAAAATATTAAAAAATTCAATTCCCAAAACCCCACATTTTTACAATTAATATTATTGAACCTAGGTCTGGTAAATAAAAAATAAAATGCGGTCATTTTAGGAATTGACTATTTTAATTAATTTTTGGATTTTTTTATTATAAAAAGATGTAAAAACAGAAAAAAAAAATTGGCTTTGTCGTGCCTTTTTTTTTCTTTTTTTTTTTTAATAACACTTTTGGCTATTTTAACCAATTGCAATACAAGCCATAGCATCGTTTGGCTGCCAACTTTTTCGCTTAAAAAATTAGGAGGAATTATACATCAGTGGGATCAAGAAAAATATTTTAATTATTAATATTTATAATATTTATCACTTTTTTATAAATAATTTCCCAATCCCAACGCGCCAAACGCCGAAGACGCGGCCGTCGCTATAACTTTATGGCGCTTTAGAAACGTCGCTATATGACTATAGGCGGCGTTTTATAAAAACGCCGCTAAAAGTTCTACTAAACATTAGCATGACGTCACCATGCTATTTAGCGACGTTTTAAAACGCCGCCGTATCTCTTTTTAAAAGAAATCCTGCCTTTGGTGTGATATTTAGTGACCTTTTTAGAAACGCCGCGATAGCCTTGTTTTTTTTAAAAACTTTTTTTAATGTAATTGAACTAAAAAATCCCTGTAATAAAACTGAAAAATAACACTTATATAAAAAAAAAAAAAATTCTAAATATAAAAAAGTTAAAAAATTAAAAAATCATTAAAAAAGTAAGTTGCGGAAATGCGCATAGGAATACAACCTGAACAAAGATTTGACTTGGATAATTTGGAATCGCAATGAGGTAACTTTGGCATAATACTGTTTAATATAAATGAAGAGAGATAGACACCCTGAACTTCCAAATGATCCAAAAAAAACTACTAACAGAATTAAAATATCAATTTCAGTCATCCATTCATATCCGTTAATAAGTACTCATGGGAACAAATTTTGTTAAAATATCTATTTTTTATTGAATATTTTTGCCAATTTGATATAGGTCTCTCTCCTTTTATTTTATTTTTATTTTTTTAATTAGATAAAGGTTGCAGATTTTGGGTTCATCATCAAAAATTTGTAGTTAGGCATCAAAGTATCGAAGAGGGTAGGGGATGGGATGGGGTCGTAAGGAGGGTGTTTTGGAGCAATGATACATCCCTCAATTTTTTCTTCCCAACTCCTGGTAATGATGTGGAAAACAATTTAAAGAGAGTTGATTTGTTGGTATTATTTATCACATTATTGGGGATTTTGGGGGAGAAATTTAGGATTGTTCAAATTGTTTACCACATCATTGGGGGGAATTAAGCGATAGAGCATTTTTCGTAATTTTAAAAGCAGTGACAATAGTTTGAAGAAAATTAATTGATTGATATTTTCGTTGTCACATCAATAGAGGAATAGAACAATTTTCTTAAAATTTTATGCTAATAAAATTAGGATAGGAATTTGGGCCATATAAAGAGTTCCTAAAGTATAGAGACCAACCAAAATAGATAGATTGAGAAGAGAAAAGCCAAGAAAGTGACAAGAAGAGCAGGAGGAGGAATAGGAACGGGCAGGTCCAGGCAAAAGAGACCAATGGAGACATCAATCTCGTGATTACTGAGGAGAATAGCGGTTTGGAGGAATTGCAGAGCCATATTCTTATTTGTTTGGAGTTTGCATTTGCATGGGATAGCAAATGGGAATGGTGTTAGTCAGTGATGTGATTCATACATACATGTTTCTAGTCAGACAGAGTCAGACCAAGTGTATAGGGAGTTCACGAGACCATTCACTCTCTCTCCCTCTTTTTCGTTTGGAGAAAGAGAGAGAAAGAGAGTGAGGGAGAGATTCGAACTTCATATGCAGACGGCGGTGCTCAAAATGGGGTTATCAAAATAAAGGTTTAGAGAGACAGGATAGGGTTTGAGGAGAGGCAAGATTCGGAGGCGCTTTTCAAACGACTTCTAGTCACAAAACTGTACCGTTTTAATTAAGAACAATTGCGACGTTTAAAAAACGCCGTTAATTTTTAAAAAAGCTGACGTTTAATAAAACGCCGTTAATTAAACGCCGTTAAATCTCCAAATTCCAGTAGTGTTAGGAGGAATTATACATCAGTGGGATCAAGAAAAATATTTTAATTATTAATATTTATAATATTTATCACTTTTTTATAAATAATTTCCCAATCCCAACTAATGTGTAACAATATTCCCCGAAAAAAATTAAAATTAGATAAAATTCAAGAAGTCAAAAAATTTAAAATATCACATTTCATACATAAATGTATCGTTTTTACTCTTACAACTATTTATTCAACCAAAAGATGGGGAGAATTATAGCATGGTGGAGCAGAAAAAAATTATAAAAACATGCAAGGTGCAACTTATTTTGTGCTAGGGTACAAGTCAAAAGTTGTGGAGGTGCCTCCATGTTTGTGGTATTTTTTTCCCCAATTTTCAATGATTTTTCCAAAAAAAACATTCTAAATATAAAAAAGTTAAAAAGTTAAAAAATCATAAAAAAAAGTAAGTTGCGGAAATGCGCATAGGAATACAACCTGAACAAAGATTAGACTTGGATAATTTGGAATTGCAATGAGGTAACTTTGGCATAATACTGTTTAATATAAATGAAGAGAGATAGACACCCTGAACTTCCAAATGATCCAAAAAAAACTACAAACAGAATTAAAATATCAATTTCAGTCATCCATTCATATCGGTTAATAAGTACTCATGGGAACAAATTTGTTAAAATATCTATTTTTTATTGAATATTTTTGCCAATTTGATATAGGTCTCTCTCCTTTTATTTTATTTTTATTTTTTTAATTAGATAAAGGTTGCGGATTTTGGGTTCATCATCAAAAATTTGTAGTTAGGCATCAAAGTATCGAAGAGGGTAGGGGATGGGATGGGGTCGTAAGGAGGGTGTTTTGGAGCAATGATACATCCCTCAATTTTTTCTTCCCAACTCCTGGTAATGATGTGGAAAACAATTTAAAGAGAGTTGATTTGTTGGTATTATTTATCACATTATTGGGGATTTTGGGGGAGAAATTTAGGATTGTTCAAATTGTTTACCACATCATTGGGGGGAATTAAGGGATAGAGCATTTTTCGTAATTTTAAAAGCAGTGACAATAGTTTGAAGAAAATTAATTGATTGATATTTTCGTTGTCACATCAATAGAGGAATAGAACAATTTTCTTAAAATTTTATGCTAATAAAATTAGGATAGGAATTTGGGCCATATAAAGAGTTCCTAAAGTATAGAGACCAACCAAAATAGATAGATTGAGAAGAGAAAAGCCAAGAAAGTGACAAGAAGAGCAGGAGGAGGAATAGGAACGGGCAGGTCCAGGCAAAAGAGACCAATGGAGACATCAATCTCGTGATTACTGAGGAGAATAGCGGTTTGGAGGAATTGCAGAGCCATATTCTTATTTGTTTGGAGTTTGCATTTGCATGGGATAGCAAATGGGAATGGTGTTAGTCAGTGATGTGATTCATACATACATGTTTCTAGTCAGACAGAGTCAGACCAAGTGTATAGGGAGTTCACGAGACCATTCACTCTCTCTCCCTCTTTTTCGTTTGGTATCGATTTGTCTCCCAAATACCTGCCAGTGGCCGCGAGTCACATGTTCTGACGAGACAACCCAACCCCTGTTTTATTCTATGTTGTTTTCATTTAATAGGGAGTCTACATACCTAGCAATGAAATTTTACTATACACATTCGTTCAGAGGATGTGTCATATGCTCAGTTTCGTCGTTTATGATATTTTAGTTATCGTTTGGTTATATATATTATGGTATTATTTATATTTCATTGTGATGTGACAGTCAGTTTGATTAATTTTGTCCCTTAATTTTATAGATTGCTTCACATTAATTCAATAAATAACGACAATTAAATTTGATAGACTAAAAATCAAATGATATTTTAATTTATTTAGTTTACAGGATATATCAATTTGGTCCTTGTTGTTTTGACTTTTCTATAAACTACAGGAACCAAATTGATATATCCTGTAAACTTCAGGGGCCAAACTGAAACATCATTTGATTTTCTGACCATCAAACTTAACCGCCGTTATTTATTAGATTAATATGACATAATCTATAAAATTAAAGGACAAAATTGATCAAATTGAAAAAACAGGGACTACAATGAAAAAACGAGTAAATTACAGGGATCATTTGCATAAATTACCCTTATTTTAATTATGATTCAAATAGTTTTTAGTTATACTTTATAGAGTATTTGTTATGACTTAATTTTGTATTTTTTTTTTAATGCGACCTTGAAACGATTCATCTGTTATAACATTTGCACTACTACAATCAATACTATTATAATA